GAGCCACACCACTGGGCTTAGGGGGCAGTGTTCTGAGGCTGCCCCCCACAAGGAGCTGCCGGCTTGCCCCACAAGGAGCCAGCTCCTGAGCAGCATTTCAGGGGGTCTTTGTGGTGCCACTGAAAATAAACCTACAGATGAGCCCAGTTGTGGCTTCTCTTTCCCGCCACAATCCGGGTCGGGTAAACATCTCCACTTGATAGGCTGATGTGTGGACAAATTTGGGGCAAATAGTGGGTCAATTTAAAATCCAACTCTGATGAGCCTCCGCGGTCCTGCTGGACTCCCTGGGTGATGGGGCTTCAAGAGGTCAGAGTCCGGGGATTGCTCAGGGAAGTAGTGGGTCCCCTACTGGCCTTGCACATCTCTGCTCCAGGTGACCATCTGTCTAGCCCATGAGCTCGGCTGGCCATCTATCCCTGGCATCCAGGGCAGGCTTAACCAGTGGTGGTTCTCTTGGCACAAACAACCCATTGGGTACTGCCTCTATTCCCAAAAGGTCTACTGCCTCAAGAGGACTGGTTGGAACCCTACTGGGCCAAGACCCACATGCAGCCCTCCACTCCAGCATTTCTTTTCAGAATACCCTCAGGGACAGGCAGAAAGTGGATCGATTTCTGTCCCTTCCATGCCACAGGGCAACAAGGCTGGGGGAAGAGGGAGACTGTCAGATCAGACACCTTGCACCCCCAGTGCCATAGCCCCAACACAGGGTTTTTCCTACCCCTGACCCTATAAAAGAGAACTAAGCGTTTTCCCCTTTTTGCTTTAGCTACTAGGAAACTTACAGCCAAGTGTGTGGCCTAGCAATGTTAGGCATGTGATGATGTAAAATCCTCACGTTGGAATCATTCCTAGCTCTGCCCACATGCCTTACTTTTACCATATCCATCTTATTAAAACCCACATATTCTTATAAGCCATTTGAAATCTTTCCTAAAGCCGGGTGGATTAAAATCGTGGACAGGTATGAATCCAAGGCCCTGACTGCAACTTATCCCACTTAATCTCCCTGTATTACTGTCCTTTTTCCAGGTGAGAACTCAAGTCCCTGAGGTTAAACCCACAAGCCAAAGAGGATGGCATCTTGGGTGTCTGTGAGGGCCTCCGAGAGGGCTGTGGAGATTGCATCAGCCCTGCATGGAGCCAGGGCTCCCGGACATCTTGGGGATGCCAGCAGGCCTCAGGCAGCAGATCTTCCTCTGGAGGCTTCTTTGTGAGTGTCCACTCTCCCCATCTGACTGACAGGAGGCCCTGAGGCAGGCAGAGCTGGACGAGGACACTCACCCTGTCCATTTTGACCACACAAAGGTCCACACAGCCAGTTTTACATGGATGTTATTGCTTCACGGCCTAAAGAAGTTCTGCATTTTTGTAATGTAACCAGTAAAGCTGGTGCCGGGAACATGGCCTGTGGCTAAGGGGAGGCCGGTGTGGTCTCAGAGACAAGAGCAGGAGGGTCTGCCTGTGGTTGGGGCTCCAGGGAGTCAGGGGAGGGTACACCCCTGCCTGGGGGCTCAGCAGCTAGAGCAGTGCTGGGCACCCCATAGCCTGGTGCTGTAGGGTCAACACAGGAGGTGCCTTGGGAGAGTGGCCACCGGCTCCTCCCATCCAGCTTGGGACCCAGCCTGTCAGGCACAGCAGCTCTGTGGGGAAGGAGGAGGGCTCGCTTCAACACACAGCTGGCCAGCAGCTCTCTCAGAAGCTGCAGCCATTAGGCCCTGCCCTGAGGTCCAGCCAACATGGTCCCCACTTCTAGCCAGTGAATCAGTGAGAGGAACTCTTCCCCGTGGGACTGGGGATTTGAATCCTGACCCCACGCAAAGGCTGGACTCCTCTTCCCTGCCCCACCCTGCTCAGTACCTGCCTGATTGGACAGTTTTCTTTCTTTTTTTTTTTTTTAAGATTTATTTTTATTTATTTATTCATACAAGAACTGGGATGGGGGTAGGTGGGGTGGGAAGGTTGTGTGTGTGTGTGAAAGGATTCGCCAGACTCAGAGTGGGGAGCAGAACAGGCAGATCTACTGAAATCCACTGCTGAGGGGAGCAGTGGGCGAGACAGGAGAAGTCTGCTGCACCAAGTGGTTATAGTGCTGAGACTTAACCCCTGCACCGCCAGGGAGGCCATGGGATCACTTTCAAGTCTAAGTGACCATTGGGCTATTTTAGGACCAATCAGCTCATTTGGCACCAAATAATTAAAGAATGAGCCAACAAACATGATTGACTCATTTAGCCTGAACCTCATTAGTTCATGCTAGGCCAAGGCCCAAATATAAAGCTGAGCCCTTTATGCCCTCCCCCAACCCTGCCAGTTCTGACAGCGCAGCCAGCCTGGGGCTGTAGGCCTGGGGCTCAGTCACTGATGCTGCTCAGGGCTCAGCGCCCAAACCCTGGGGCTCCCAGGAGGCGCTGCCCACACTTAGCCTCTCCTGGCGGGTAAGAAACTCACAGCTGCTTTTCCATACTTCCAGAGCCCAGCGGGCCATGGGGGAGCCGGTCCTGCTCTGCAGCCCACACCAGGGCCATTTCAGATTCTCCCCTCCTGTTCCAAACAGCAACCTTAGATCCAAACAGTGACCACTGCAGGTCTTCAATGGGACAGCCTAAAAGGAGTGTCTGAGGGCCCTGCTGGCCGCATGGGTCTGCCTCAACTGTGTGTCAGGGGAGGAAGGCCGGGGTGGCTGAGGGGACAGCCGGGTAGCAGGGGGCGGGTGTCCAGGCAGCCACGGGGAAGTGGAGCCACAAGGAGGACTGGGGCCGGGGGTGGCCAGGCAGGTCCCACTGGGGTCTCTAGAAAACTGCCTCTCAGGCCTCCTGACATGACCCCTGTCGGGAGTGGGCAGGGCAGGAAGGCCAGGGGACCCTGACCCCGCTAGCTCAGCATCCGCCCTCCCCCACCATTCAAATGTCCCGGGTGAAGCCAGGGTGGTCGTCCTTAGCCTGCCCCCAGGACTCTAGGGGATGTGGGGGACAAAGCTCCCTCCTGTGGCGTCACTCTGATGGGAGGTCAAGACCTTGGGTTTCACAGGCTCAGCCTTGCCTCCTCCTGGTTCCCATCTGGGCCTATGTCCCCTGGAAGAGGGGACACGATTCACATTCCCTTCCCCGGGGTGCTGTGAGGACAGGATGGAGTGTGGGCTTATGGCCCCGACTCCCACCTGAGGTGGGGGTTACTGAGGTGACCCTCAGTAAGGGATAGCAATCAGAGCCGTGGCGCCACCTAGTGGCAGCTGGCCTCAGCACCGCGTGAACCCCTCAAATCCAGGGTCCTTTCTTCAATGCTGCATGGGTGATGGTGGAGACGTGATGATTAGGATGGTGTTGGTGGTGTGGGGTCAGCCCCCCAAAATGGTCAGACCGATTTCTCAATAGCCCCAGAATGGCCTCTTGTCTCCTGGGAGTGGGTGCCAGAGGTTGACGGAGTCTGGAGAGTCCATTCCCGCTGGGAATCAGGATGTTTTGTGTGAGAGCAGGGAGGGCCCAGAGGGCTGAGGAGAAGCCGCCCTTGCCCAGGCCCCTCGCCCTTCCTGATCGAAGATGAGATCAGTGTGTCCTCAGTCTGGCCTTCTTGTAACTGATGAAGCAGCCCCTGCGTCCGTTCTGTGATCTGGAAGAAAGTCCTTCAGAGAGGGCCTCGCCCAGCTCCGGGCTCGCCCGCGAACATGTCCTTGCTGCAAGAATCTCCTCTGTGCCCTCTCTACTCAGTGTTACCTGTGTCTTTGCATCTGTCTCATGAGCCGAGTCCAATGGGAGGTTGGCACTTGGCGGGGAAGGAGGCCTTCAAGCCCCTGGTCACAGCTGCCACCCACCCCCCCAGCCACACTCCGCTCCAGCAGGGCCTGGGCACAGGCAAGGGCAAGGTCAGGACTGGTGCCTGTGCCCCCAAGCATCTTGGAGCAGTGCAGGGTATGCAGCTTTCCCCCACCTGGCCTGGAGGCCCAGGGAAGAGCTGGTGACCACCTGCTGGAGGCCCCTGCCAAGCAGGGCACCCTGATCCTGGTACAAGGTCTGGTTCAGGGGTGTGGTATTTGAGGGTGACCTTTCTGCCACAGGTAAGGGCAGTGAGCCTTTGAAAGGAGATGCTGGGCTCCACTCTCCCAGCCTGGCCATGCAGCATCTGTGGATGGAGGGTGGGGAGCTGAGCCGGCCCGAGCCCCGGGTCTGTCTCTCCTGCCTCCCAAGGCTCAGGAGCCACAGACCAGCAATGAGTGTTGGTGACTCTGCACACGAGCTAAAGCTGTTTGCTCTTACAAGTGGCATTGCACAAAACTAAAGATGAAGAGTCAAATTGTAATTTTCTTTCCAGACAACATGACGTGGCTAACACAACGAGCAGACCGGGTCGCCAGCTGAGGCTTCGCATGCCCCATATGGGTCGGGGCCTGGCGGAGAAACACAGAGCCCACTTCCATCTTGTGTGGGGCTCTGTGAATGGCACAGTGGGCAAAAGGCAGGCTCACGCTAGAGCATGGGGTCCTGAGCACCTGCCGGGGGCCCAGAGGCAGGCCGGGGAGGGGGCAGCTCCAGACCATGTTTCTAGAGCACCTCGGTCTGGGGACTACATCAGTGTCACAGCCCTGTGATTACACAGCGAGTGAAGGCGCTGAGCCTTCTTCTTCGATGCCCTTCCTAATGTGGCCTAATTTCATTCAACTCAAAGGATGAGCGTTAGCAAGAACACATGAGCAGTGGGTGCCAGGAGAGCCAGTGGGTGCCAGGGGTGCTGTCAAAGTGCAAGCCAGGAGCAGCCAGAGTCTAACAAAGCCAACAGGGCTCCTTCAGGGTGGGGCTCATGCCCATGATGTCACTACCGGCGCTGGTGGCAGGGCATCCCGTGTGCTGTAGGAGGCTCAGTGGCATTCCTGGCCTCCCCCCTCGATGCTGGCAATTTAAAATGTCTCCCCATTATGAGGATCCCCCAGCGTCCCAGTTGGGCCGGCGGCTTAGCTGACGGTGTGATGGGGGCACCTTCCGCCCAAGCCCGAGGCCCATATAGACTCTCCCGAGAGACAGAGAGGGAGAAACTGAAGACTTTTTTAGTGAGAAAAAGGCGGGTGACTGACCACTCACATACACAGAACAAGAAACAATAAAAGAATCAGACGTCGCAGTGGTGAATTTCCACAAAAGCTGACGGATTTGCACCCAGAGCGATGGGGTCTCCAGGAGCGAGGTGTCGCTGTATTAGGGACCTACCTGCACTCAATCAGGTTCCCTAAAGGTCAAGAACATTCAAAACCTCAGACTGACACTTTGCACCCCCCAGTGAGCAACGCACTCACTCACAGCGTTCAACCTGCAGGTCAGGGCGCCACAGTAAGTCCTCTTTTCCTCACGTTGTCCGCACACACATACACACACCTAAATGTAACATTTCACGGCATAGGAGTAAACGCACACAGGATTAAAAGCTCAACCAAACAAGAAAATGTCATTTTTTTTCCTATAAAGTGTTCTTTAAAAAAAGATGGAAAAAACTGGAGGCATCATGGCCATTCTGTACAAGTGACGCCGAAGATCAGCAAAAGCGATTCCAGAAAATCCTTGTGACTATCCAAAAGGCCCTGGGAGCCCAGGGGAGGCTCGGGCCCACCAGGCCTAGCGCATGCCCAGGATCTGCCTGCTCTTGAGCTGGTAATTCGTCTCCATGTCCGACAGGGCCTGAGCCCGCAGCTGTGCTGCGTGCAGCCTCTTCTTCAGGTCTCTGCACTTGGACTTGGAGCTCAGCGGGCCCTCCGCACTCTCAGTCCTCAGGGCGTTCTCTTTGCTCTCCCCACTGAAATGAACCTTTTTCTTAATTATGGAGGACGGGAGGTCAAAAAGTTCTTTAGGGAGAAACAAAGAAAAAGAGTTCAGGGTTACTAACTCCACCTTTCACAGACTCTCCCCAAAACACCTCCCGTTCCAGGGCATGCCTGCAGCTGGCCACCTGTCTCTGCTGGAGGCAGGCAGGGGCACGCGGCGGACAGAAATCAGTCTTTTGATCCCAAGCGCTGAAAAACAGGTTGAGGCACATAAATGTCATGCTCTGAATCAACTTTGAAGCATTAAGGGCTACAAAAGAGACTTCTGGAAATCAACCCTTATTCTCTATTCTTAAAAGCACTGCCATTCTGCCGAGAACACATGACTTCCAGAAGCTTTCTTGCAGAGAGCACCTACAGTGTGGTTAAATCTTCAAGAACACTTACTTCAAAAGCAGCTCAATGGATCAGAAACTTGTTTCAGAAAGAACCTGAGCAAATTCTGTGTGGAGAAGGCAAATCAAGTGACAGTGCAGCAAAAGACGTGAACTACGCGTTTTCTATGGAAAAGGAAAAGTGGCAACACTAAGAGCTGCTGACAGAGCCATCTGGGGCTGGGCCTTGCAGGGCTAAACTCCTCTGTGCACTACAGGAGATGGGCTCGCACATCCCGCTCTCCCTGGACAGACAAAGGCTCTCTCCCAGTCAGCACGCCTCCACAGCCCACAGGGAGCAGGGCAGGGGGTGGGAGGGGCTGGGTGCTCTGGGAGTAACTCCCGGGAGAGAGAGCGGGTCTGGTGGTGTGGCCGTGACTGGCATGTCCCAATAAGGCACGTGAGGAGCAAGTAGAACCGCCCAGGCCAAAGACAAGGGCAGGTCCTACGGTGGCAGAGGTGGCAGGGGCCCGCACCGTGGCTTCAGCAGCTTCTCACGCTGCTTCAGTTTCAAGGCAACCTGATCACTTCTAGACCTCAACTCTGCCATCTCAGACCCCTTATTACTATAAACCCCTGAGCATGTGTAAACCCCAGTGTGAACTGTGCGTCTTGCTGAGCTAGTTTTCTAACAAAGTGTTTAGAGAAGGAGCCAGTGGTTCAGTAAGTTGAAGAAAAATAGTAGTTCATTAAATAGACTAGGAATAGATTTTATAAAGTGCTGCTGCTGAGATATACGACGTCTTCCTCATACCTGGGGGTGACCACTGAGACACATAGCATTTTTTTAAACATCTAATATTTCAAAATAAATATTGAATACTGACCACAAAGCACTCCATAAGGTCAATAAAATCAATGTGAAATCATCACGAACATAGTAAGGAAGGCTTTGCTATGACAAAATCCTTATAAATCTTCCTTAAAAGTCAAGGCTTTGTAAATGAAAGGGTCACCAAATACACCTGGAGGGCTTGGGGGCCTGGGATCGAGTCTCATACCTGGACAGTTGGTCAGAGACAGGAGCCTCTGCTCCTTCAGGAGGCTGTAATTCTTCAGCAGGCTGTCTGCCCGCGCCATCTTGTCCTCTGCCAGCCTCTCCCGAACGCAAAGTTCACGTTCCTTCTCTTTATAAAGACATGAAAAAGGAAACTCAAGTGACTTTGGTGTAAAACAACGTGCATGTAGTGATCTCACCTCAGCATTGCCAAGGCTCAGCCTGGCCTGCCCGCCCCCAGGTGATGATGAGGCTTTGGAGGTCGAGCCGGTCATTCCCACACTTTAATTCCATGTCTCAGGATGTGGCGTGCTCTTAGGCTTTCCCAAAAGGACAGGTTTAAGCACAAGTACAGTGTTAGCCTCAACCTTTGCCTGTTGCGAGAGAAGTCATTTGACAGCCCCTAAATGAGGGAAAGGCAACTCGGTGAGGGGGCCTCCTTCAGACCAATAACAAAGGTCATTGTTACTTTGTGGCCCAGAATTCAGGAAATACAGCTGAAGTCACAAAACACTGGGGTAAGTTTTAATAAAAAGTTTGGGGATTTAAAAAAATTTTTTTACATAATTCTTTAAACAGAAAAGTAAAAAAAAAAAAACACAAAATGCTTCAGATGGGCATAGCTGTGCCACCTCTACAGAAAGCACCACCTATCTCTCGGGGGAGAGACGTTAATGCACACACACAGGCTGCTCCTGGGGCACCTCGGGTAAGTCAGGGGTGGCAGGAGGCTCATGTCCTCATCTGTCTCTTCCTGTCAGCACGAGAGCCTCCCCAAGGTTGCGTTGGCACAGGACATGCTTCTGAATTCCTGACAGTACCTCTCACCTTGGTGGCATAGGAGCTTGCCACATCAAGTGGGGAATCAGCGCCCAGTCAGTAATGCCCATCAGCGTGTTTCTAAGCCTCACTGGCGCTACCACACTCCACCGAGCCGTCGGCCTGGGCAGCCGCCGGCTGCAGCAGCCATGGCGGTGGTTGAAGTGCTAGTTTAGCATGAGGGAAGGAAGGCCACTTAACTGACACCAGAAAAACTTGAAGGCATCTACCTATGGGCTTCATACAGACATGAAGACAGAGGAGACAAGGTCCACTGTGCTGGGAGCCACCCACGTATTGACCACAAGTCACCTCAGAGGAAGGCTCAACGTGCAGGCCGGGGGCAATCTGCACCACAGTAGCTTGCTTTCTCAAGCACGCATAAGAAAATTTGACAGAACACAAGTGAGATAAGGCCCAGCCCCTGGCCCCCGGACTCACGCTCCAGCCTCGCCTCCCGCTCCTGCAGGGCTCGCTCTCGCTCCTGGAGCTGCATCTCCTTCAGCTTCAGCTCGCTCCAGCCCAGGCTGGACTCAGGGGGCTTGTCGGCATCTCCAGCTCGCCGCCCCCTTCTCTCAGGATTTCGCCTTTGCTCTTCTGCCACCAAGTCTGCAATCAACGGGCTCTCGAGAATTTCTTCAACGGAAGGTCGGTGATAATCCTGGAAGAAAGATTCAGTGGTCCAGTCAGATTCCCTAACAGAATCAGCATCCAGAGAGTGGGTTCCCTTACTCAGGGACGTGTCTCCAGGGCAAAGGGAAGTCTCCTCAGAAAGGCCTGACACACCTGAACAGTCAGCCGCCTGGGGCCTTCAGGCAGGAGGTTCTGTCTCCACTGGGTCGCAGATGTTAACTTACATTTGATCCCCTGGAAGTTTCCTAGGAAGCCCCGGACCTGAGCTGGTGTGGGGCATCACCACGCTCTATCTAGGACAGGCCGCCCTGGTATCTCTCAGCTCCATTCAGCAGGATGCTCTTCCCCCCTTTAAGCGCTGCTTTGCTGGAGTCCTCTGTCCCCAGTTTCTCTTCCACCCTCACATCAGCTTGGCCCACCCTGTGGCCCACCCCACAGCCAGCTCTTCCCACATAAGCTCTTTGTTCATGTGAGGCGCCCTCCTCTCCTTTAGTCACCCTCCCCTCACCCCAACAACCCCCCTCTGCTGGGTCTCTAAATCTCCCACAGGAGCTAGGAGCCAAAGAAATGAAGTCTCACCTCGGGCCCCTTTCCTTACCACCTGCCACTGAGTTGGCAAGAACAAAGGGGCCGGGATGGAGGTCCTCCTTGCCATCTGTTAATGAGACTTAGTAAAGGAAACACTTCAAATGCTTCCTCAGTCTCACTGTACTGTGCCACTAACTGCACAATTTCACCGCCAGGCAGAACTAGACAAAATGTAAAAGCTTTCTTTACCTTCAAATTTAACATCCTCGTAATAATGTCATTCAGCTCATCAGAGTAACGATAGGGAATTCGCCTGAATTTGCCTTCTCTGATCTTCCCAGCAAGCTCTTTCTGGTTGAAAGCTGTGAATGGAGGCCTTTGGAGAAAAAAATTTTATTTCCTTTAGTCAAAAAACAAAAACAGATAATAGGAACCAAATCACAAGCACAGCTTACTCCAGTTTGTATGTATGTTTCTAGTTCTCTTCTGCAGTTTTGTTTCCTACCCTTGGCACCTGGGGTCACAAAATTCTTCATTGTGGGTGTCCCCACTGCTGTGGCATGTTCTGCAGCACCCTGGCCTCTGTCCTCTAGCTCTCCTCAGTGTGACATCCCAAAAGGTCCCTCGTCCTTGTCAAATGGTGCCTGGGGACAAAGATCACTTCCCCCTCACCAGGTGAAAACCACAGCACTACAGGAGGGTGCAGAAGGAAACAGGGAAAGAGTTGGAGCATTTCCTGGTCCCAAGCCCCTGTGTCCTCCCTAGATCTGGGTTCAGCTATTCCACACCCTCAGGGACCGAGCTGTGCATCCACCTACAGGGAAGTGCCTCAGCAGCGGACACTGCGACGAGTAAGATCCAGTGTCATGGGCTGTGCTGTGACTCTGGATCATTCTGTGTCCTGTCCAGAAGTTTCACCCAAGGTAGGATATAATTCTTTGACCTGATGTGCCTGAGAGCTGAAAGGCGACTCAGCAAGAAGGAACAGAGCCCCGAGTGAGGCCCTCAGTCCAGAAACAGCCGCTCACACTTACATTAAGGCGCAGAGTTCGTACAGCAAACACCCCAGCGACCAGATGTCCGATTTCTCATTATAGGACATGCGGCTCATTTGCTCCTTAAGGGGAGAAATGGTGAAGAAAGTAGGATTTAAACTTACTTGTTTTTATATTTAAATTTAAATGGAATCTTCTAGTTTGTTAATATCCACTCATGAAAAAAAGAGAAAAAATTGATATTACATTTTCATCTGTAACAAAAATTTCAAGCACCGAGGCTGACTGGGCTAATGTCCGCTCTCCCTTCACAACAAGCGCAGGTGGCACCATCTCTACTCCACCTTCGGATTTACAATGGGAGAAAGCAGCAATCTGATCTTAACATACTTTGTCACACAGTCCACTCACTTATCTTTTATTCACAAATGTTACATGAAGAGCTACCGGAGACAAGGCACTGACAACTCAAACATGGACATGAGACCTCGACTCCATCCTCAAGGAATGCAGAACCTAGAAATTTCATTTTAAAAGTATCAGAGAAAATTCCAGAATAACCAAAATTCCAGAAACACATTTAAATGGATATGGAATAAGTGGCTAATTCAATTATTCGTTTATATATACTTTTCTTAGTACACTGCATAAACCAGAGTAGTAATTAATATTCTCATTTCCTATTTGAATTGTTTACTTTCTTCCACCAATCACACTTCTTATTCTCTACAGAGGGCACAGAGAGCCCCAAAATCTCCAGGAGGCATCTCAGGGCTAAAGTCCAACAGGTGAGTCTGACACCAGCCCCGCCGATCAACACCTTCTTGGCAGGCTGGCCAGATCTCATTACAAGGCAGGAGGGGAAAGGAACAAAAGAATCACACAGGTTTCAAGTTTTCCAAGAACCACCTCGGGATAATTTTCCTTTATGTTAAAGAGTTTCTATTAGTAATTTGACCCAATGAGAAAACGATGCTGTTCTCACCATGTCCAATCTTAGTCAAAATAAAATCATTAATTTACAAACTTCTCTATGCCATTGGATCGGTTAATAAAACTGGAGGATTTAAGAAAATGCAAATGTGAACTGCTAAAATGAAAAGCCATCTCTGCATGCTTATCTGCTCGGGTTTCATCTACAACACAGGGTGTTCAAGCAAGCCTTTTCAGTCCTTGACAATGCCAGAAACAGTTGGGACCCTTTTACCCGCAACTGTACTTTGAGACCTGGTACCTAGGAAGAGAGGGTAACTCCCACAAAGAGGAGAAAGCTGTGCTCCTTGGGAGGGTAAGAACAGTTGGAAACAAAATATCTAGCAACAGAGGAAACAGAAATAAAGCAGCAGGGGAAGGCAAGAAAACCAGAACAAATACCAAAGTTAACACAGTAAAAAAAACATATTTATGATGGTCAGGGGCAAGAATCACCCAGAGAGGCCATGACAAAGCAAAGTGGGAGTGTGCTGGGGGTGAGAGGAAGGGAGAGCAGAGTCACGGGGTTTGGGGCCCAGGACTCTGCCAACAAGTCCAAGCGGTGTCCATTCTATGGCACTTTGGGAAATGCTGCTCTTGAGGGCAGAGCCCAACCCACTTCATCTTGGAATCCCAGAGCTTAGCACTTGGTGGTGCCGCAACAAAAGCTTGACTTGAACCACTGATATAATGAAGCATAATGGCCCTGTGGTCCACATGGGAAAACATATATTTAAAAGGAAACATTACTATTGCTTCTTGGCTACTGGCTATTACTAGAGAAATAAGTCAAACACTCACTTCCCTGCTTCTGAAGTTTCAGCACTGAGAGGAGTTTAGAAAGTACATCAATGCTGAAATACTTACAGGAGACATGTAGTAAGGTGTGCCAACGAACGTTTTTGCAAAGCTTGTGTCATGGTTTAAGATTCTGGCCAGCCCAAAGTCCCCCAGCTTCACGTTTTGCTTGGCATCCAGGAAAACGTTGGCGGGCTTCAGATCCCGATGCAGCACCGTGTGGCCGCCATCGCTCCGCCGGTGACATTCCTTCAGGGCCAGGGTCAGCTGCGTCATCACTCGAAGAACAAATTCCTCCTCCAAGTACTGCCTGAAACCAAGCAGGGCCCTTCTGAACAAACACCAGGAGAGCTGGGTGAAGGGGGAATCTCCTTTTCAGAGGGCACCAACAGGAAGTAAGGGATAGTTTTTGCAATACGCGTGGTGATGGCCAGGGATTGTCTAAAGTTCTGTGGGCCCAGCAAACAAATACAAGAAGGTCTTGCACTCACTAACGGGTTCATCGCGGATCCCAAAACAAGACGCTTAACAGACAAAAGAGGCTCCCTTTTGGCTTCCGTGGAGAAGAGACTTACCTTTCCTTGGTCCCCTTTGAAATCACGCTGGCCAGGTCCCCGCCTTCGCAGTACTCCATGACGATGTACAGGGTGGTGTTGGTCCGGTCGATGATCCGATCGTAGTAACGGACGATGTTTGGATGTTTCAGTTCTCGAAGCAAATTCACTTCAGACACGAGCATTTGTTTCTCGGCTTCTGTCATGGAGCCATAGTCCAATTCTTTCCAGACCAGTATCTGAAAGAAGTTCCACGGCCACAGGTCAGCGCAGGGGACAGGACGGCCATTGGGGTGAAGCACAAGGTGACCCGGCCCGGCTGCCGCGCGCACACCTGGGAGGACGCTGCCCTCCCGCCCCGCCAGCCCGGCCTCCCGCGCCCACCTTGCCGTCGCTCTTCCTCCGGATCTTCTGGCAGCGGCCGTAGGAGCCGGTGCCGATGGTGAACAGGACCTCGTAGTCCTCCGCCCGAGCCGGCATGGCCGGGCCGCAGGATCTTGCCCCGCCGCCGGGTTGCAGACGCCCCGCTCCCCGGAAGCCCCACTTTCGGGACGCCCCGCTCTGCGGAAGTCCCGCTCTCCGGAAACCCCACTGTCCCGACGCCCCCAAGTCCCGACGCCCCGTTGTTCCGACGCCCCGACGCCCGCAGCCAGCCGCCTGCGTCTGGTCCCTGTTTAACCGTCGCGGGCCCAGGCCTAGCAGCCGATTGGCTCGCGGTGAAGGCGCTCCGCCTCTCTGATTGGCTAAGAAGAACACAACACGCTAGGCCTCTTGGGAAAAGCGTATCACTAGGCAACCGCTTCAGCGTCCGCGTCAGTTTCAGCCTCAGGGCGGAAGGGGCGGGGCTACGTCGAGGACGGGCGCCGAGGCCTAAAAGCGTCAGGGTGTCGGCTTCTCGGCCCAGCCGGCTGCGCCCCCAAGGTCTCAAGATCCGCGGACCCGTCCTCAGAGGTCTTCGCGCCCTGCCCTTAGACCCCACCCACCCCTCCTCTCTCCCGTTCCCGCGCTCTCGGCCTGGACTGGGTCCCGACGGAGACGGTGCGCCCAGACCCGAGTTCCCCGCGGGGAGAGCGAGCACAGTTTCTGTCCAACAGGCAGGAAGAGGGGAATCGACGCGAAAACTGGCGCCGTCACGCGGCCAGAGCTCAGCGGCGGAGGGTTCCACTGCAAAGACGGCAAAGTCAGGGGTGATTTCGGGGCACCAAGACCTCGGGGCGCAGCGTTGCAAAGGCCGGAGCAGCGCGGCGGTGCGCACGGAAGACCGCCCTTGGGAGCGCTAGTTTGGGAGCACCCTGCAGGGTGTTGCCTCGGATCACCTTGGAGACGCCAACAAGACAAAGCATTACCATTAAAGTATAAGGCATCCGAATAGGGAATCAACAGGACTCTCAACAATACTTCCCTGCAGGCAATCTGCGAGGGCCTGAGGTCCTCACCCAGGGCTGGGTGCCCAGAGGCTAGTGATAGGGCTGTGCATCAGTAGGTCAGTTTTCCTTAAATATCTGTTCAGCATGGGATTGAAAGGCGCCTGATTTCCTATTAAGTTTTACAAGCCTCTTGATGTTAGAGATGAAATTCCATGCATTGACTAGAACATAATGGGAAGTACAAATCAGGACCTGGCGGTAACATTCAAGGGCACTGTCCTGCCTCGAAGGAATGTTGAGGTTTCAGGGATGGCGGAAGCAGTGACAAGTGGCTGAGCTCGCTGGCATTATATAGCATACATTTATATATATATATAAATATAATATATAATATAATATTAATATATATTATATATGTCAATATAATATAATGTATATTATATAAATATATAATATATTAATATATATTTCACTAAGATCCACATCCACGGAGCTTTCTGGCTGGCGTGCCAGAAATCCAGAACTGTATCTCATCTTTAAAAGAAACTACTAGGAAGACTATCTAGGAAGACTACTAGGAAGGGCATCTCCAACGGAACGTGTCCAAAGTCCGTCTCCCCAACTTCTCCCCAAAATGTGTCCTGCTGCCTCCTTGCTTCGGAGTAACAAATGCATATTTTGTTTTGTTCGCTGTTGTGCCTCCAAGCACCTAAAACTGAAAGTTTCCGTTCTCAATCACCAAAGCTTCCTTTTTTGTGTTCCATCCAGGAACCACTAGAGGGGAGCACATCACTTTACAATCAACCAAGGGCGGGGCCAACAGAACTGGCCTGCTTGGACTAGTCCATTGAGAAAACCAGACTCCATTTGCATATCGAGGAATTCAAATCTCAGATATTTTGTGTGTCTCCTCACCACAATGACGGGCCATTTCAAACATGGCAATTATGAAAATTCAAGTGCTTAATAAAGACTTCTGGAAAGAAAATGAAAAACCTGGGGCCTCCCTTGTGGCGCAGGGGTTAAGCTTCAGCTCTCAAGCTATCACCAGCCATTTTCGCCTGAATTGGATCGCTGGACATGGAGCTGACCCACAACACATAGCAGACCTCTCCTGTTTCCCCGCTGCTCCCCTCAGCAGTGGATTTCGGTAGATCCACCTATTCTGTGCCCCAATCTGTCTCTGGGGAATCCTCTAAACCCCGCAACCCCTGGCCTGCACCCCAGCTCTTGTATGCATAAATAAATAAAAATAAATCTTTGAAAAAGAAAATTAGAAAACTTTGTGCATAACGATCGGAAGCGAAAAAGTGCTAATGAAGGTGCTGGAGGGAGAAAGAATGTGGAGTTGTGGAGACTGGTCCTAATGTCACGCATGGCTTGGCAGAAACAGGACAAGCCGCTCACAGTGAGGCGCTGGCTCTGGGTTTCATGCAGGCGGCAAGGGAGAGTGTGGGCATCTGAGTGCTACCGTCCGTCAGATGGCCCCAGGTGCCCGCCAGAGGCGGCTGCGTCTCTTCCATACATGACACATTTTTAGATAGAGTGGGTCAGTTTTGAACCCCGCCTGGTCCCCTGCTCTCCTGGACATGGCTGCGGCCACAGCGCAGTGGGAGTGTTGACAGATGACCACAGTCAGACTGTGCTCTAGAAAGGTCCCCCTGGCGACGGTGTCGAGAAGGAGAGGGGGGCAGAAAGGTGGCATGGGGGCTCTGGCCTCACCCCAGGGGTGTGATATTGCACCACTGAGGCCACGGCCACGAAGGAGATGGTGTGGGAGACAGATTAGTGGGAGTCTGGTTACCTGTGTGGAGGAGAAGGGCAAACTCCTGGCCCAAGTGGCCAGGTGCCCTCCCAGCAGCAGGGAATGTGGGATGGGTGCCCCGTGTTGATGGAGGGCCCTGGCCATGGGGAGTGGCTGCTGGGCAGGTGGGTGCAGGCTCAACAATGCCCTGGGGACAGCGCTGCGCTGGCATCAGGGTGAGCACGCCCCAAGGTGGTCATGCGGAAGGCTGGGAAGGGACCTTGAGGTTACCCTGGGCAGGAGCAGGAAGAAGAGGCAGCCGTGTAGACAAGGAGATGCTGCGGGGTGTGGGAATGCAGGCACTGCCCCTATGCTGGGCTCAGGGCCACTAGCAGCCATATCTGGAGCTGGCCTTGGCCCCCAGGAGGAGCTCGCGCCCTTTTCTTTGTCTTCACCGCAGACCCTTTGCCAGGCAGAGGGTGGGGCCCGTGCACCTGCCTTTGCCGGGAGCACACACCAGAGGCAAGGAGCAAAGCCTCAGAGGCCCTTTCTCCCCAGCTGGCCCCTGAGCTCAGCCAGGCCCTGCTGGGGACCTACAGGTTAAATTCCTGACACTGGCAGGGGTGGGGTCCACTGTGACCCCAGGATCTTGGCCCTTAGCACATCTTCTTTTGGTGGAGGGCATTAAAATGATCAACAGCAACAACCAAGTGTAATTCAGGCTGTTGCCATAGCTGCACCAAGGCCTGGTTCCCCTCTGACAAATTCACCCCTCCCGCCTGTGGGGTTGTGGCGGGTCCACGCTCCTCCTGTGGCTGAAGCACACACAAGTGAGGAGACCCCGAGTCCCAGGTACTGCCCCTAAAAAACAGGGGGGCATATGCTTCCTCAGAATTTCATGAGGCTTGAATAAAAATATACAGGCGTGGGGCCTCCTTGGTGATGCAGGGTTTGTCTCAGCACTGTGAAGCTATCCACAGCCACTGTAGAACGAGTCCAATCCCTGGCCAGGGAGCTGACCCACATGGTGTGACAGACCTCTCCTGTCTCTCCACTGCTCCTCTCAGCAGTGGATTTCAGTGGCTCTGCCTGTTCTGTTTCCCACTCTGTCTCTGGTGGGTCCTCTCACATCCCCCCTACACCTCTGGCCTGGCCTGCACCCCAGCTCTTACATGCATGGATAAAACTAATATCCAGGCATGTCTCCGCTGCTGTGGGGGCCTCAGATGCAATAGCTATTATGGTTTTTAGTTAAATCCTCTCTCTGGGTGGAGCCACAGGGGGAAACTAGATACCCCAGACAGGGGGGGCAGGCTCTGTGGAGGACATTTACATAACCTGGCCACCTGGCCCAGCACCCCTGAGGGCAGCCCCTCCCAAGCCACCTTCACATGCCCAGGTGGCACCCTAACCAGGGCCACATCTCAAATCCCATTCAAAGGCATCCCAGCACCCAGTTCTCAGGACCAGGCAGTTTAAATGCACTTCCCCATTGCTGGGCAGTGCAGGCAGCTCCGGAGCGCCCACATCCTCCAAGGCCCTTCCTCCTTCTGGCCGCAGACACCTGCTCAGTGCCTGGAATGCGGCCCAGGTGCAGGCAGCTCAGGTGCAGGCAGCCCAGGTGGAGGTGGCCCTGGCAGACCAGCCCCTCCTCTAGACCTCAGCTCCCAGAACCTGTCTTGTTCAGGTCCAAGACCTCAGGCTTCCTCCTCCTCCTCAGGAAACTTCCAGAACCCCCTCTGGAGCCCTGCCCTAGCCCCTGGTGGCCTCCATGCCCTGAAGACTCTGACGCTGTGATGAGAAACAACTGAGGAGGGCTTGGACCACAGTTGAACGTGCCTCCCCGCTGGGCTAATGGCCAGCGTGGCTCCATTTTGACAGCCAGACACAGCCCAGGGCTGCATGGGTGTCTCCTCTGCTTCGTTTCCCTAGAGTGTTTCCGGTGTCTGCCTCTGTCTGGCTTTGATGCAGGAATCCGGCCTGGTAGAACGTGCAGCCATGAACCGAGGCCTGCAGTGCTATGGGAGAGGCTGCCTGCTCCGCAGCCATCCAAGTTAAGTTTTTGGTCAGTCGAATGACACGTGACTTTCACTGTGTGAAACGGGGGTGGTGGCCAGCACCCCTAACCCCCAGGGCTGTTCAAGGGTCAACTGTACATTTCTCTTGCAAATACACACAACCTGGGCCTCTGCACATTGTCCAGCAGACCCTGCTGTGGGTGGCCCCAGCCCAGGACATCAGGATTCTGCACAGAGGAGCGGGGGTAGGGGGCCCCACACAGGGAGGCAGGGGAAGGGTCCCCACACAGGGTCCCCACACAGAGTCTCTGTCCTGGCACAAACAGCACATGGGACAGGGGTGGGGGGTGGGGGAGTGCAGTGGTGAGGGGAGGCCCCAGCCTCCGGCAGGGCAGCAAGGAACAGCAAGGCCCAGACAGTAGCCGCTCGGCCTGGCCAGGAGTTTAGCCTCTGGA